ACCTTCTAAAGGATGGTATCTGGCCTAGTGCTTAGGACACCCATGTCACACATTAGGGCTCAGGCTCCTGACTCCAGCTTCCCGCCGGGGCAGACCCTGGGAAGCAGTGGTGATGGCTCGAATAACTGGGTTCTTGCCACCAATGTCAGATACCTGGATTTAGTTCCTAATTCCTAGTTTCAGCCCTGGGGCCATTTTGGGCATTGTAGGAGTGAGCTAGAAAATGGGAGATCCCTCTCCCCTCTCTCTCTCTTTCTCTCTCTCTCTCTCTCTCTCTTTCTCTCTCTCTCAACCTCCTTTGCTTTTCAAATAAGATGAAAATAAATTAAAATTAAATGCCTGTGATAGTGGTTTGTGCTAGAGACTTGATATCTATATATGTACACATTCACACATACATAACACATATCCCAATAAGTAAATAAATTCTTAACCATAAGACCCAAAACTCTAAAACTGACTAGAGGAATGCAGAGGGAAAGGTCCATGGCATTGATCTGAGCAGTAATTTCTTGGATGTGACCCCAAAGGCATGGGCGGCAAAAGCAAAAAATAGACATATGAGATTGCATACAAGAAAATCCTGCTCCAAGCAAAGGAAACAAGCAACAGAGTAGAGAACTGACGCACACACTGAGAGAATATTTGAAATCATTTATCAGGTGAGGGGCTACTATCTTAATACAAAGAACTCAAATGAATCTGTAACAAGAAAACATGCCCTGAATGGACACTTCTCGAAAGAAGACATACAAGTAACCATCTCCAATTATCAGAGAAATGCAAATTAAAATCACAACAGAGAGGCCAGTGTTGTGACACTGTGGGTAAGCTGCCACCTGAGACGCTACATCCCACCTGGGCACTGGTTTTTGTACCACTCGTTCCCTTCTGATCCAGCTCTCTGCTAATGAGCTGGGAAAAGCAGTGTAGGACAGCCCACGTGTTTGTGCCCCTGCATCCAGGAGCTCCTGGCTCCTGGCTTGGCCTGGCACAGCTTGGCCATTGCGGCATCTGGGGAGCAAACCACCAGATGAAAGAGCCCTCTCTCTGTCCCTCCCTCTCTCTTCCAACTCTAACTTTCAAATAAACATAAAAATGTTTAAAATAGATAAATAAAAATAAAACCATATAAGACATCATGTCACCCCACCAGACTGGCTATTACCAAAAGACCCAGGCCACAGGTGCAGAAAGAGGGACCTAGCACACTTCTCAGAGGAACATCAGTCAGTACAGCATTTTGAAAACAAGCACAGAGGGTCCCTAAAGGCTAAAAACAACTCAAGCTCTCCCACGACCGCACCAGCCCACATCCGAATTTATGTACACATGCATGTAAGGTGTATATGTACATGTATGTCATGTGTGTATGTGCATGTGTGTGATATCTGTGTGTGACATGTGTGTGTAATATGCATGTGTATATGTATGTGATATATACAAGAATACATATATGTATATGGCAGAGCCATGTCTTCACTTACATGTCCACTGCAGCACTGCTCACCACAGCCAAGACAATGGAAATGCATGAATGTGTCTTGGCAGGTGAATGGACAAGGAACAGCAGCAGCAACACACCCAGGAATACCCAGACCAAAAACAACCACAGGAGGGTCTGTCATTTACAGCATGTTCATGGAGATGAAAGTCACGCACTGTATACGAGGACTCTAAAGTCCTTAAACACAGGATTGAAATGTTCTTACTGGGGCTGGTGTTACAGCACAGGTGGTTAAGTCACCGCCGGTGTCCCCAGCACCCCATGTGAACACCAGTTCATGTCTTGGCTACTCCACTTCTGATCCAGTTCTCTGCTAACATGCCTGGAAAAGGAGCAGGAGATGGCCCAAGCTTGGGCCCCTGACACACACACTGGAAACCTAGATGGTTTTCCAGGTTCCTGACTTCTGCCAGGCACAGTCCCAGCCATTGTGGCTACTTGGGGAGCGAACCAGCAGGTGGAAATCTTTCTTCTCTCCCCTGTGTGTTTGTGTGTGTGTGGGCATGCACATGTGTCCCTGTGTGTCTCCCTCATCCCACACCCATAACTGCCCTACAAGTAAATAAATAAATCTTAAAAAATAAAAGGAAGGGAAGAAATACCAGAGAGCTGATCTGTCTCCACCCCATTAGAACACAGCAAGAAGATGGCCACCCTCACCAGGACCCAACCATGCTAGCACCTGGGTCAGACTTGCAATGCTGAGAAACATCAGAAAATCAATGTCTGTGGTCAGGCCAGGCCAGGTGTGGGGTTTGTTACAGTAGCTTGAGCTGACTAACACACCCCCAAGGCCTCCATAAGAGCATGTGACAACCTGACACAGCTAACCCGTGAACTCACATCCCCACGCGGCCAGGCCTGGTGCTGCAGCAGATACAATTCCCATTGCCCCCAGCTCTGTCTCCTTACTGGCATCACCAGATGGGAGAACTCCATCATCACCACTGTGTGTTCCACCAACACAGCAGGTACACTTGGGGGAAAAATCACAGCATTCCACTCCCTTAGGACAACCACCTAGCACATCAGGACAAGATGGTCAAGAGTGGGAATTGAGAAACTGTCTCTATAATGTGCCTGCAGTAAGCCACGCTGTTAACCAAGTGCAGGGGCAAGGTCTCGGTTGAGCGAGTCACATGACCGGTGGTGGGTGCTGTCGCTCCCCCTCTTCACGGAGGAACGACACAGGACCCTGCCTGTTCTTTTATCTGCTCGGCCCTCCCCGGGTTTGCTGCTGGTTCTTCCCGGGTTGGCTACCATCCCTTCCACCTCCGTGGAAGGGCGGTTCCCCCTAGCCACTTTCCCCACTTCCGCAGGGGAGCGGCACACCGCCGGCCGGCTCTCTCGGGGGCTGCACAGGTAGTTCCCTCAGATGTTCCTGGTGCATGTTGTCTCTCTCCTCCTTTATAGTCCTCTTCCATCAATCCCAACTCTGCTACCCACACGCCGAGTACGCTGCTCTCCTCCATCAGGAGTAGGTCCTACAGTTTATTGGTTGAACTGGAGGCAGCTGTGTAGAAGCTGTTTCTCCCTTCTCAGCGCCATATTGTGGGAGAGCAGATGCATAGAATAAGTCTTAATTCCATTAACTTAGTCTAGTCCGAGTTGCTCCCACAGATCCCCCTTTCTTTTATTTTTGGCGTTGATACGTGCCTGTCTTCAGGTGCCCCCATGGCTCACACTCTGCTCTGCTTGCTGGAGTTGCCCACAGGTGCTTACAAGCCCTATCAATCAGGCAAACCGAATCCGGGTCCTCTCTTTGCCATGTTGTGAGGAGGTTTTTAGGCGCTGATTGCGTGCCTGTGTTCGGTGCCCTGCAGCACATGCTCTGCTCTGCTAGAACTGCCTGCAGGTGCTTACAAGCCCTAACAATCAGGCAAACCGAATCCAAGCCTTCTCATGCCTGTATTGTGGGGAGGACTTATTGGTGTTGATAACGTGCCTGTCCTTCGGTGACCTGCAGCCACCCCACAGGTGCTTATCATTCTTACTAATCAGGCAGACCCAAATCCAAGCTCTCTCATTGCCATGTTGAGGGGAGGCCTTGTTTTTCTCTATTTCTCTATCTCCGGGCATTCCTAATCTCTCCCATTTTACTTCTATCTGCCAGCATTCCTATTCTCCTCATTTTACTTCTAAAACTTCTGTTTCTCTTATCCCTGCGGCTTTCCCGGCGCCCGCCCCGAGGCTGCCTCTTGGCAGGCTTCCAGGCTCTGAGCCAGCTTCAGCCCGCGCTTCTCTCATCTGCGTGGCTTCCCGGCTTTGCGCGCGCACCTCCGCGTCTCCGCGCCCCTTCGCGCCCGCACCACGGCCTCACACTAGCCCCACGTTCCCTATCTATTCACACCCCGTGCGCTCTCCTCTGCATGCGGCGGCTTCCGCGAGTCCACAGCGTAGCTTACGTTTCCGCCACCGTATTCAATCTAAGTTCCCTGGCTAACCTGGCGAATTCAACCTAGCTTACGTCTCCCCTTATGGTTTGGCTTCCCGTCTTTTGCTCCCAGGGCTAATCTGACGGATTCCAACCTGGCCCACGTTCCGCCTCTGGTTTAACTTTTCACCTTTTGCTCCCCGGGCTGACTTAAATTCCAAGCTGGCTTACTCTCCGCCTCGGCCTGCCCCCGCAGCTTCATCCTCCCTAACATTTTTCTCTACCCTGTATGTTTCCCTAAGTTTTTTCCCAACAATATTCCTCCCTCATTTCTCCTGGCTTCTCCCCACAGTCCGTATCCAAGTGTTTGTTCTAGCTTTCACTTTCGCTTTCGACCTTAGAGATTTCTCCCAGCTTCCCCCCGTATCCTATCTGAGTCTATGCCTAGGCTTTTGATAGCTTCTTCGGCACCTTTCCGTCCGCTTTTCCTAGGCTCTTTACTAGTCTCTCTCTCCAGTATTTTCCCACTTCTTCCTGTTTCTTCCCTCCTAGGTTTCCTATCCGAGTCACGGCACCATTATGTCGCTCCCCCTCTTCGTGGAACGACACAGGACCCTGCGCTGTTCTTTTATCGCTCGGCCCTTCCCAGGTTGCTGCTGGTTCTTCCCGGTTGGCTACCGACCCTTCCACCTCCGTGGAAGGGCGATTCCCCCTAGCCACTTTCCCCACTTCCGAGGGATGGCACACCACCGCCGGCTCTCTCAGGGGATGCACAGGTGTTCCTCTTAGATGTTTCCCCTCAGATGTTCCTGGTGCATGTTGTCCTCCTCCTCCTTTATAGTCCCTCTCCACCAATCCCAACTCTGCTACCCACACAGCCGAGTACGCTGCTTCCTCAATCAGGAGTAGGTCTACAGTTTATTGGTTGAACTGGAGGCAGCTGTGTAGAAGCTGTTTTCTTCCCTTCTCAGCGCCATATTGTGGGAGAGCAGATGCATAGAATAAGTCTTAATTCCAGTAACTTAGTCTAGTCCGAGTTTGCTCCCCACAGGTGCCACAGAGGTGACTACAACACACACCTGGGAGCAGTGAGCTCTCAGAAATGAGGGAGCCGCTTACCATCACTCAGGTCCTGCAGGAGACCCTCCTGGCAGGAGAATCCAGGCTCGCTTTGATGTGACAGTGAAGGTGGCTGCTTGCCCAGGCTGCAGGGGAACTGGGCGAGGGTTTCTTCCAGCTTCCAGCTCAGGAAGTTGCCATACAGTTTCTCTGCAATGATAACACAATAGTATGTTGATGTGATGGCAGAGCAGAGGCACAATGAGACTGACACCAACCGCTGGGAAATTCTGGCACACGCTCAAACAAAAAGTGAGACCATTCAGAATGTCAGAAAGCAAGTCCTAGGAAAAGCCCTGAATCAGAAGAGGCCGTGAGGCACAAAGAGGAGGAGAATGCATCACACCAAGGCACAGGCCCAAGGCCAGGCCACCGTCCCTCCTGGGGAGCCGCGGGATCTGCAGATGAAATGAAGGCCTGTGGCTGGCAAGTGAAGCTAAGTTTCTCCACCATGAACATTTTCTGATTGTACTGCTGTGAGGGAAACAGACCCATGTAAAGCAGGACACTGCTTCAGAGAAAGGAATCCAGAATTAGAAACACACAGCTAAGCAGAGCCTCAGGCAGGGCCAGCGAGGAAGCGGCCTTGGGCCTGGAGCACTGTGCAGAATGGTAAATCCTGAGCTGCGGTTTGTCTGCAGACAGCATGGGGGCGACGGCCACTGCATCGGGGGCTGGTGCAGAAGCTGTGCACGGTGGCCAGCACCGTGGCTCACTAGGCTAATCCTCCGCATTGCAGTGCCGGCACACTGGGTTCTAGTCCCAGTCGGGGCGCCGGATTCTGTCCCGGTTGCCCCTCTTCCAGGCCAGCTGTCTGCTGTGGCCAGGGAGTGCAGTGGAGGATGGCCCAAGTGCTTGGGCCCTGCACCCCATGGGAGACCAGAAGCACCTGGCTCCTGCCATCGGATCAGCGCAGTATGCTGGCCACGGCGGCCATTGGAGGGTGAACCAATGGCAAAGGAAGACCTTTCTCTCTGTCTCTCTCTCTCACTGTCCACTCTGCCTGTCAAAAATACAAAAAAAGAAGCTGTGCTGGTGACCTCTGCAGAGAACGGGCAGGGGGCATCATCCATTGCATCAGGGGCTGGTGCAGAGGTTGCACACGGTGACCGTCGGCAGAGATGGAGTGGGGTCATCATCACTCACAGCAAGCACCCTATGGAAGGACAGGAAGAGACACAGGGGACACCCAGTGTGGCTGGGAAGTGCCATCCCTCCTTCATTAGAACTGGGAGTGAGATGTGAGACATCCAACCAAGGCCCAGTATTCTCTGCAGCCAGCACACCTGGGAAAACTGACAACCTCCAATGTCTGTGCCACAAGGTCAGCTTCCACTCTGCTCCACTGAGAAGCTCCCAGCCCCACTGCCCTCCTGCTCACAGGGGCAAGCACAGATGCCGCACAGCCCTGAGCAGTGAGGTCCAGTGTTCGGCCAGCCCAGAATGACACAGACACACCGAGCACATGCAGGGTGGGTCAGTCATGGCTCTGGGCAGTGCACTGCAGAGCCTAGGGTCCAGGTATGCACGAGGAAACCCTCCCAGAGAGACTTGAGGGGAGGAAGAGAAGCCAGCGATGGTTAGTAGGAGGATTCTGGTCCTGTGCTGTGTCCAGCACGATCTTGGTATGTGGCACAGCTTAATAGATGTCACGCTCAAAACCGCCTTCACACACTGGTTTTGTGGTCTGTCTCCTGTGTAGCCGCAGCACGTGGGGACTTCAGACATTCACAGCAGCCATCCTTAGTGGGGCAAGGGCACTGGCCCTAGCCCACCAAGATCGTTGAACGCCTGTTGTGTGTTCTCCTACTCCTCCAGTCCCTGCACCGCAGCCCTGAGGTCCAAACTACCCTGGGACAACCTGCCTCTGGGTTGCGCTGGTAGCAGCTCCAGACGGAAGTTATGCCATTCCCTCCCGCACCACGGATGGGACCGAGACCCTCCAGCAACCCAGGAAGTCTATAAAGAATATTAGTATGGATTTTAATGAACCTCCACTTTTTTGCTTTTATAGCCTGGTCAATCCATTCAGGAATGGAATGGATAAGAGATGCCAGGTGACAGAGAGCCAAGCTGGACCCTGCTTACTAGGGCCAGTTCCAAGGCCCCAGAACACAGGAAATGCAAGCTGACCTGCCCCCATGGGCCTATGCATGAGCCACACCAGCAGGCCACCCCTTCCTAAAGCACAGCCCATGTTCAGACAAGACACCAAGGCCTTGCAAAACCTCACCTCCAACATCCTTCCAAGCTGTTTCTAGAGCACAGTCTGTGTAAATGGCAGCCACTATGTCAGCTGCCCAGTTCACACAGCCGGGGATGGGCAGGAAGCATGGGCAGGCTCTGAGGTGAGCGCTCCTGCAGCAGGAGGAGCGCACACATGAGGGGCCTCAGGAGGGCAACTCTGGCCACATGCGCCAGCTTCTCCTCCACCGCACAGCATGTGCCTCTGTGGAGAGGGCCAGGCCCACTGTCTCCACAGAGGGGTCCCACTTGTCCTCCACAGCCCCCACTCATGGGCTGCGTTCTGTGGGCCTTGTCCCCCACACACATACACACAACCCTTCCCATGCCCTGACAAGTAGGATACTATATCCAAGGGACTCATCTCCTACCAATCAATCAATCAATGGATGGCACCAGCCCCCAACAACTGAGACCCAGCACCTGCTGGAGAGGGCAGGCACCATGAGGGTTAGGAGCACCAGCTTCAGGACAGGGCATCTCTCCTCACCTGCCAGCCCTGGCTGTGTCCTAAGTGAGCCACCCAAACATCCGTGTCTGTCCAGTTTAGCCATCTGTAAGATGGGCTGTCATTGCCAGGTCAACAAGGTAATAGAAGCCAATGCTTAGAAACACAGTATGGACTAGAACAGCACTTGGGGCAGTGTTAATGACTCCTCCTCATGTCTCAAAAAACCCCTCTCTCCTTGTCCTAAGTGAGTAGTCCCTCCCCAGGGCCGTGTGAGGATGAGCTTAGCCCTGTCAGAGTGTGGGACCCGGCCCAGCAGTCCGCAGGCAGCACTCTAGCACTAGCTGCCACCATATTTCTGCCCCTCCATCCATGAACCAGGACCTGGCACGGGGAAGAAGACAAAAGTGACAACAGTGTGGACCAGTCACAGTGTTCGGTTTATAATTCGGTTTATAATTAGAACAGATGGAAACAAGTTACACGGAAAAAAAAAACCAGGATGCCACACTGAATGTACAATGTAATTTCAAATGCATAAAAGTACTCAAGTAGAAAAAATGAAAACATATCTATATACTAATATTAGTTTGCTTGGAGTCATGGGATCATGGGTTATTTCAAATGGTTTTGTATTTTTTGAATTTTCTGCAATGAGCTTTTATCATGCTTTATAAAGAAATACACATAAGGATACTTCAAGAAGTTCACAGAAAATAGAATTAAAGGGTAAGTTTATTTTGATGCCAAAAAAGATTAAAATGCTTGCATATGAGGGACCTTCAAATCATTCATGAGAAAAGTACATTATGAATAAAGCATGCGTGGATTTCAAAAACGTTTGGCACCAAATAAATTACTTTTAGTTCTGTTCTTCCATGAGCTTTGGGAAGTCCCCTTGAGCCTGACACACACACACACAACACAGACCACACACACACTTGTATAAATCTGCGCTAATAGCTCTCTAAGTCTAGGCCCCTGCCCCCCTAACCTGGTTTCATGCAGTGAGAAGCCTGTGGGTCCTGGCTGAACATCCACATGCAAGACCAACCACACCAAGGCCTGTGGCCACCTGACAGAGAGGTGGGTTCTGAGCCAATGCAGATGCCTTCATGGTGCCCCACACTGTGGCAGGGCAGTAATGTTTCCTGATGACAGGGGCAGCAAATCACAGGGACTGTGTGTCCCCAAGTCCCAGGCTCGTCTCAGCCAGCTGAATAAACTTCCCTGGGGCAGCAGATTAACTCTGTGGCAGCCATGTGCATTGGCAGGCAATCAGATGCCTACAAAGAATTTGGCCAGGCTAAGGAAAAACTAGCCCGCCCACACTAATTAGGTGAGCTCTGCCTCTCCATGCCACTACTGTGCTCACTTGGCAAGGCAGGGGACCATCCGGAGGGACCATCCAGCAGGAAACAGCCCCAGGCAAGCAGGGCAGGAATTGGAGCAACTGCCTAGTTAGCAGCTTCCCAACAGGAGATGCTCCATCCCAAGTCATAAAGAATCAATTACAGCACAGAGATTTACAGCAATTTGCCCAAAGCCAAGCAGCTGGTAAGTCGTGGAACCAGGACTCAGCGCTTGCATGGCAATGGCTCCTCCCACCTATCTGAGGCCCTGACCAGAGCCGGAGTGACTCCAAAGAGGAGGCTTCGTACCAGGGAACTTCATGGAGGGCCTGCAGAAAACAACAGGAACACTCAGTATGGGAGCTCTGGCATATGCCCACTGAGTGTGAAGCCCAGCTTTTGCCCTTCTGCAGCTCTCGGGACAGGTAGGGCTCCAAGTCCTCTGTCAGCCAAGATGACCTGTCCTCAGAGGAGGTGGTAACAGAGTCAGCATGATGGTAACATGAAGCAATGCGAAGACTTAGCATAGCAACGCGGCACCCGAAAACTGCTGGGATGATGGATGAGAAAGCCCGGGCCCAGTGAGGGTTGCTTCTTCACATTCCACCTGCCCATTTCACTCGTGCAAGGAGCATTCATTGCACAGCCACTGAGGAGCCTCATGGCAGGCATGAGGCAAGGTTCTGAGGACAAAGAGACCAGGAAGATGTGACCCCTGCCCTCGAGAGGAGTCAGGGGAGAGGTCCTCCTGACTGCACAGTGGAGGCCGCCAACATAGACCAGATGGAGATGAGGCTCCCGTGAATCTGAGTAATGTGTAAATATCACCACAACTGCATCATAGAGAATGGGGACAGTAACTGCCTGCTGAATTCACTGCCCACATCTGGGGGCCCAGAACTAAAGGAAGACTCATTGCCCAGTGGCTTGAACTGCTGGGTCCCAGACTTGGCAGCTACCCATCTAGCCTATCAGAAATCCATAACTAGT